CCCGACGGAATTCCTGGCTGTGTGCTCAGGTATTGTGCCGACGCCCTGTGCTATTCCCTTCTGAAATTGTTTACCTTGTCCTTTGAAACCTCCCACTTTCCCATTATTTGGAAGGAATCGTTTATTATTCCTCTCCACAAAAAAGGTAGCAAATTGGATGCCAGCAATTATAGAGGAATCTCTAAGTTGTCGGCCATCCCAAAATTATTTGAAAATATTATCACCCCTCTTTTACAGCACCTTTGTAGATCGGTTATTTCTCCATGTCAACATGGTTTTATTAAGCGAAGATCAACAACAACAAATCTTTTGGAGTTTTCTTCCTATATTATAAAGGGCTTCCATAATAATTGTCAGACAGATGTAATCTATACTGATTTCAGTAAAGCATTTGACTCTGTTAACCATTCTCTCCTCGTTAGAAAACTCGATTCAATGGGTTTTCCAAGTGATCTTCTTAATTGGATCTCAAGTTATTTGAATGGCAGGACGCAAAAGGTCCTCTTTAAGAATAATTTATCCAATGTTCTAAGGGTTACATCTGGCGTCCCGCAAGGAAGCCATTTGGGACCCTTATTGTTTACATTATTTATAAATGACCTTCCCAAAGTCTTGACTAACTCCAGACTACTTATGTACGCGGATGACGTCAAGCTTTGCGTGCAATACAATGACGTTGCCTGCCAGTCGGATTTACAAACAGATCATAATAATTTTCAAACTTGGTGCCGTGTAAACTTATTAAACTTAAATGGCTCGAAATGCAAGCTAATGACATTCTCACGTGTCGTTCCTAAGCTTGCTACTTACACGCTGAACTGCTGCTCTTTGGAAAGAATTAATTCTGTTGACGATTTGGGCGTCCGCTTGGATCCAAAACTTGACTTTATTGATCATATTTCGTCTATGGTGAATAGAGCCAGGGGTGTGCTTGGATTTATTAAACGGTGGTCGAAGGAATTCAATGACCCCTATGTTACTAAATCCTTATATACTTCCTTAGTTCGTCCTATCCTAGAATATGGATGCTGCGTTTGGAGCCCTCAGTACGGCGTCCATAGTAAACGCATTGAGTCGGTTCAAAAGAACTTTTTACTTTTCGCTCTACGCGGTTTAAATTGGGATGCAAACCAAAGATTACCTTCCTACTCTAGTAGACTCCTATTAATAAACTTGCCGTCCTTAGCCAATCGTAGAACGATGCTAGGGATAACCTTTATTTTTAACCTTATCCATGGTGATGTGGAAAGTGCTGACTTGTTGAGTCAGCTTAATTTCCATGTACCATGTAGAACTACTAGATCCTATATCCCATTAGTGTTGCGCCACTGCAGAACCTCCTTTGAACTGCATGAACCTTTTAGAGTGCTATGTGCAAATTATAATGATTTGTACACACTAATCTCTAACGTAGATACCCTTCACAAATTAAAATCTTTAATACTAATACACTTAGTAAGCATGCAAGCTAACAATCTGGCAGCACGCCGGTAGTCAATTTTCTTCGTATTCTGTCCTATATTTACCATCGCGCCTACTAACACCTAACCCAAACAGGCACGTGCCTGGTGTCATACGGGCCACTTGAATGTACTGACGTTAGTGCACCAACGTTCAAGAGAGAAAAGTATTATGGGGTTATTTTATATTATTGATCTCAATACTAGATGCTTTAATTAATTTATTTTAATCCGTTTCACAGAAAAATAAAATAATAAAAATTTCAAGGCTTTTAATAACAATCTAGTTCCCATAATCACTGATTAAGAAAATGCAAGCTCAGTACATGTGGCGCAACCAAGTGAACAACCAGAAGTTATATTTACTACCAACTTGTGAACGATCGCTAGCCTTAAAAAAAGCAAGGTCAACGCACGTGCCTTAGCAAGTGAACTTATCTAGGGCATCTGTCGATTGGGAATTCAATGCATTGACCAATTGTAATTTTTTTAATATATGGACGATGATGCACCACGATCAGTACACTCAAGTGGCCCGTATGTCACCAGGCACGTGCCTGTTTGGGTTTGGTGTTAGTAGGCGCGATGGAAAATATTGGACAGAATACGAGGAAATTGACTACCGGCGTGCTGCCATGGTGTTTGCTTGCATGCTTACTAAGTGTGATTGTATTAAAAATTTTAGTTTGGGAAGGGTATCTACGTTAGAGATTAGTGTGTACAAATCATTATAATTTGCACATAAGACTCTAAAAGGTTCATGCAGTTCGAAGGAGAATCTACAGTGGCGCAACACTAGTTATATATAAAATCTAGAATTCTGGAAATTGAGCTGACTCAACAAGTCAGCACTTTCCAAATAACCATAACATTTCAAGAGTTTTACGAAAACTCGTTAAAATGCATTTACAGCCGTTTTTTGGTTTGCCGCATGAAAGACATCATTTCCCTTTCTACATCGCGAAAGGCGTCGCAGCAGTAACGCACGGCGATGTTTTTTTTTACATCGTCCGCCATCCGAGCTGCACACCAATATAATTGGCGTGTCTTGGCGTGTATGACGTTGTCCCACAGCCAGCAGCCGATTCTATGGTCACTTGCAGAAATAGCCTTTTTGCAGGTTTCGGCGAAACAGACAATATTTCCGGACATTATTAAGACTTACTTGAAAAAAGGAGAGGAAAAAACAACAGAGCTATGAAGATAGAAAGTGAGAGTCACAGCGAGAGCGAGAAAGTGGGTGAACGTGGGAGATCAGATAAAATAAGAAGTACAGCGGCACAGCAAAAGCGAGAGAGCGGGTGAGCGTGGGAGATATATAACTAAAACGTTTAGCTGTTGCGACGCACTATGGGCCTGGTGGCCCGTTCTTTTGCCAAAAGGGTCAAACATAGTTTTAAGAAAGTGGGGGAAAAAAAAAAATTGAATAATAAAAAGGACAGATTAAGCTATCTTTCCTCAAAATTTTATTACTTTATATTCAATGGATACAAAATGGCAGCTGGTCAAAGTGGATATTTGCGTTTTATTTTTTCATTTTATAGGCAAGAATAAAAATTTCCTGCCCCTATGCGGGCAGATATAGTAACATCGAAATGCTTTTAATGTAACTAGTAGAACACAAAATTAAAAAAAAAAAATGTTTTTTATTTATTACACAAATTACTTTACAAACAAATTTAAAAATAAAAAAATATTTTTTTCTAATGAATATTATCTAAATACTCAAGTAGTTTCATTGAGTTTCAAATCGAATTGTTAGTTTTTTTTTTAATGAAAAACAAAAAAAAATATTTTTTTTAACTTTGGTTGGGATTATCTTTCTTAAAAAAAATATTTTCTGGTACTAATTTTTGAACACATAAAATTCAATGTTTTGAGAATGTGCATGCAAAATTTCACGTCTCTAAATAATTTATTTTAGAAGTTACAGAATTTTGGCTAAAATACGAACTTCCTGGCCAATAGTGCGACGGCGCAAACAAAAGAAGAAGGCACAAAAAGGAATGCAAAATTTGCAAAAGCTAGCACTAGCAGCACAACTAAATTGGGAAATAAAACCAATTATAATCACAAATCAGAATAGCTGCATGCACACGCGAAGTAAACGGGAATTTATGTTAACCCCGGTGGTTATTTGCAAACTTTTGCACAAAACGAGAGCGCAAAAAAAAAATATACAAAAATGATGATCGATTACTCCAGTTTTTTTTTTTTATTTTCCTGGTTTTTCGTGCAGCTTTAGACATTGCTGAGACATTTGGGAACCGCAACACATCAAAAGAATCCACAAAATCGTTTTGAATGATCAAAAAGTGATGTTGCGTCAGTTAGCTGACATCGTAAAGATATCAAAAGATTTTTTTAGATTTATATTGCATGAGCATTTGACTATGATAAAGCTCTTCTCAAAATGAGTGCCGCTTTTGCTCACATCAACACAACGCACCGTGTCACAAGTCAGTCAATAGAATGGCAAAGACTACATGAATTCAACATCAAATTTCTCCCACATCCACTATATTCGTAAGATTTGGATCCAGTAGTCTCTGGCTTTTCGCAGACCTGAATAAAAATGCTCACCGGTAAAAAATCTTCACCAATGAAGAGATTATCGCGAAAATGGAGGCCTATTTTGAGGCAAAAGATAAATCGTTCTACAATAGTAGTTGAAATGTTAGAGAAGCGCTGGAATGATTATGTTGCTCTAGATAAAGATTAATTTGATAAATAAAGCAAATTTTGAACCAAAAAAACCGAGTTTTCTATGTAAGGCACGGGACTTTTCAGCTCATAGCTTAAGCCAAGTTAGTTCTTAATCCAACTCAATTCAATAAAGATTATTTTTTTTATAAAAACATAATAATCTTTAATTTATGTATTGTTGGAGTAGTAGTAGCAATAGCAGTAGTTTTAAGATTAAATATAAAATTGAAAATTTATATAACAAGAAAAAAGAAATAATATAAAATAACTAGATCTCGAATTTAATGAAAATCTGTTGAAAATTGGAAAATAAAGAATTTTTTTCCAAAATTTTTTCTATTGTTACTATGGCAGCTATATTAAATAGTCTTTCGATCCAGCTCGTTGCGACATATATACTAGTGTGAGTATATAGAAGACTAACCACAAAGTTTCATTATCATATTTCATAGCGTTGCAAAATTCTCACTAAAATTATATAAAAAAAAATTCGAATGAAAAGGAATCTAAATGAATTTTAAACATAAAATAAAACCTTATCTGCTCGCTCTCAAGGTAGCACAGTCGAGGTATTGACCGAACTTATAAGCTTTCACGTACGTCGTTAGAAAAAATTTGGATTTTGCCCGTGGAAGCATGTCGCAGATCTAAGCTTGAGAACGTTGGCCGCTCCAAGAAATAAATTCTTGGACTGCTACCTACGTGCTTCTGATTATTTTTCAGTGAAAATTCCCCATATAGGCCGTTAGTTAGTCGCCTAATTTTACTTATTTTTTTCCAAAAACTCTCACGGATTTTCATATAATATTTTCTATCTAACATAGTTATACTTACTCGGTTCATTAAAACAGCCCTTCGAATTTCACGAACTCCGTCGTAAACAAGTCGAGAAGCATCAATAAAATCATTTTCGTCGACGTCTTTATTTGAATTATTCAAGAGTGCTCCAACTGCAGTTTCGACGCGTTGTTCAAATTTCAGCATAACTTAGGAAAGAAAAAAAATGTTTTTCTTTAATTGCTCCTTTAAGTCCTTGCAAAATAAAAATTGATTTTTCCTCCTATGGTAATTTCAGAGCTTTTATTATAAACAAGAAAGAAAGCTAACTTCGGCACGCCGAAGTTTATATACCCTTGCAGAGAAAACTTCGATTACTAGGAATTAATACAAAATAAATTATATATATTTATGTTAAACAACAATGAAATACCTGCTTTCATTTTATTCACACATACATATTATATTTACAGTTTCACATTCACAGATTTGCATTTTTCCTCTACATCAAACGATCGTTTGTATGGCACCTATATGATATAATAGTCCGATTTTCATGAAATTTGACACAAAATTTAAGACTTATATAAAATGCCTATACCTAAAATTTGATGAAAATCAGTTGAAAACTGAAAAGGTTAAAAATTTAATTGAATTAATTTCTTATGGGAGCTATATGATATATTAGTCCGATTTTCATAAAATTTTATGCAAAATTGTAGAGTATAGTAAAATGGCTATATCTCAAATTTTATCCAATTCTATTGAAAACTGAAAAAGTTAAAATTTTTTTTGTAAAAATTTTCCGATCATTCCTATGGCAGCTATATGATATAGTCGTCCGATCCGGACATGGCTAGATCGACTCGGCTGTTGATCCTGATCAAGAATATATATACTTTATATAGTCGGAGGTGCCTCCTTCACTGCGTTGCAAACTTCTGACTGAAATTATAATACCCTGCAAGGGTATAAAAAGAAAAAAAGTACACCCTTGCAGACTGCAATTCGATCATATAATCATATATATGTTGAAAAAATACCGAAGTAATGGATTCTTTTATTCCATTCACCAATACATTTTATATTAACAGTTTTACAGTAAAAGTTTTACACTCACAGTTTTTTTATTTCCCTCTATTTTACTATTTTTTGTATTGCAGCTATATGATATAGTTATCTGATTTTTAAATAACTTGAAAACTGAAGTACAGACGGACTGACAAAAGAACAGACACAGTTAGATCATCTGATGAAGCTGATAAAAAGAAGTTGAACAAGATAGGAAGCTAACGTCGGAACGCTGATGTTTGTATACTCTTGCAGATTCCATTTCGTTCATTAAAACAATATAAATGATATATATGTCGGGGCATAGTTGCGTTTCGGCTTTTCACACTAAAGTTTAATACGGACTTTAACTGCGTCGTTTAATCTTATTTTCGTGCTTACTATCAAACTACACTCGGAGACAGCGACACTACGCGTTCACCCCGCTAAGACAGTATTCTTAAAGCAAAAACATGCAGACATCCGTTCACAGGAAAAGCACAGGCTGAAGCAATATTACCATAATTATGAAATTAAGCTCAAAGAAGCTGGGTCCGGAATTTTTATGTTTTTCTATACCCTTGCAGGGCCGTCAGCCGATAGGGTGCACAGGGGATCAACGGATGACTGTGTCATCTGCCGTAACTGTGTACACCATCGGTAGTGCGACTATACTCTCCAAGCGGGGGCGGCTGGAAGCAGGTCCCCAGTCGAGGCTCGACCGGGGATGCTGACCAATTGTAGTCGGGCGGACTTAGGCAGTCTTTAATCAAGCCTCCCCTCAAGTCAGGTGTGTGATGCGACCCGTGCACACTGACTTCCAGGTTCGCAGCTGAGGGGTAATTCCAAGCTGTGTCTGCACGGAGCCTTCCCAGGGCCAGGCAACCCTGGGTCGTAAGTGGCCTTGCCGCAGTTTTGGGGCGAAGCTGCGGTCGACGCCAAAGCCCCAAACCCCCTCTGGCCCGCTGCGCTTGCCAGGTCGAGCAAAGCGGGCGATCATGACATGCTATGACTTCTACAAACCGAGCTTCGGAACTCCTGGGAGAGGATAAACCCCAAAAACTGTCAACGAAGGACGAGAAGGAGATGCATAGGCCGAGACTGGTTGCTGCATCTCACATTGTATCGGAGACCGACGAAGAAGAGTCGCAATCCGAGGGGAGAGCGAGTAGCACTCCCCAACCGAAACACACAGGTGGGGCTCAGCTGAGCACCACCTCAGAGATTGCGAAATTGTCTCACCATCAGAGACGAGCGAGGGTTAACAGAGCCCGCTTCGTTCTCGGCAAGATAGCCAAGAACGAGGCTGAGGGCAAAACCGACCCTCGGGATGCCGAGGACAAAGCCAAGTTCCTTGCGGGGATCGCGGAATACGAGAACTACAAAGCGGCAAACCCGGCGGCGTTCCAGCCCTCGAAGGCGAAGCGAATTCGCTCACAGGAAGTGAGCGAAAGCGCGCCTAAGAGAGCGAAGGACCCACAGGGCAAGCCGCGTGCGACGAACTTTGTCAGCCAGGCAAAGAAGTTCAGCGAGGTGGCCAGAGACAGTCTGGCTATGGCACTGGTGGACGAGCTTCATGACGACGGTCGCCTGCTGTCGGAGAAGTGGGAGGAGATTGAGGCCAAGTTGGCCGACATGGTGACCGACAGGTTGGTCAGCATGCCGACCGGCCCCATCCCCTCCTTCGACTCCTCAGACGTGGTCAGAGGGCACCGGGTCATCAGGTGCGACGACGGGTTCTCCCGAAGCTTCCTGGCGGAGTGTGTGGCAAAGATTAGCGACACATGGGCTGGCCTTAAGATTAGGCTAGTCCACGCCAGGGAGATCCCAAGGAGACCCAGAGCTCGCATCTGGTTACCTAAGGGCCAAACTGACCATGCAAGGGTGATCGCCTGTCTGAAGGCCCAGAACCCAGATATCCATACAGAGGACTGGACCATCCTCAGAGCAGAGCAGGAGATGAAGGCGAGTCAGCCTTTCCTCCTGCTGATCAACCAACGCTGTCTGCCCCAGCTGGAGGCAATGGACCACAAGGTCAGGTACGGCATCAGGAAGGCCAAGATCAAGGTCTTCTTGGCCGAGCCGGACGAGATTCTGGAGGAGGTCGATGACACCAACAAATTGTTGGACGACATGGTCATCGACGACAAATCTCCCGACGCCACCCCCACCAACATCGATGTCGAGAATCGTGCAGATTAACCTGAAGCGCAGCTCGCACGCTTCAGCTAATCTCACGATCCTTCTAAGGGAGAAGGATATCGACATCGGTCTGATACAGGAGCCTTGGACCAGGGACGGGCAAGTCGCTGGACTGAGAATCCAAGGATACACACTACTGTGCGCAAACTCGAATGGTAGGTCGAGAGCTTGCATTGTAATTAAGAATCACTTTAATGCTTTTCTCTGTCCCAACCTCAGCACACCTGACCTAGCAGTGGCCAGATTCGTGGCGGCGGATGGGAGCGGAGTCATCGTAACATCGGCGTACATGGCCCATGACGAGCCGGCCCCGCCTGAGCCGGTAGTCAAGCTGCTGCAATGAGCGGAAGTGACGAAGACGACCCTGGTGCTCGGGTGTGATGCGAACGCAAGACACACGCTCTGGGGGAGTTCGGAGACTAACGAAAGAGGTGAGTCACTCTTTGATAATATTATCTGTAGAGACGTAACAATATGTAATAAGGGCAATACGCCGACCTTCATCTTTCCGAGTACGGAAAATTTTCAAGGTTGGGAAGAGGTGTTAGACGTCACATTACATATAGAGCAGGACAATTACAGGGTCGAGAACTGGAGGGTATCGACAGAACACTCCTTCTCAGACCATAGGTATATTTTCTTTGAATTAACGACACCAGTTAAGAAACAGGTGCCAAGAAGGAACCCCCATAAGACGGATTGGAACAATTTCAGCGAGATTGTCCGATCTAAAGTTAACGGCAGAAGGATCAAGACCATATCCACTGCAAAGGCACTCGACAAGGAAGTCGAGGGCCTAACTAACATTCTGAACAACGCCTTCAAAGAGACTTGTAAGCTAACATTCTCGAAGAGGCAATACCCACCGTGGTGGACAAAGGAATTAAGCGAGCTCAGGAAGAGCGCGAGAAAGGCCTTTGACCACAGCTATGTAACCCGGGACTGGGGAACATACAAAGAAGCACAAAAAATTTACAAGAAGGCAGTATACAAGGCCAAGAAAGAGTCCTGGCAGAAATACTGCGAGTCACTGGAAGGCATAAAGGACACGGCGAGAGTAAGCAAAATCCTCGCCAAGGGGCACATAAGCCCTACCTTGATCAACAGAGCAGACGGCTCTGCTACGTCGACAATTGAGGAGTCACTAGAGCTACTAGTTGACACCCACTTCCCAGGAAACCTAAGAGTGATCTCGGAACCCGAGGGGGGAACGATCTCTCAAATGGATACACCTACGAAAGACATCATTACCACGGAGCGAATTCAGTGGGCAATAGATTCTTTCGATAAATTTAAAAGCCCGGGCCCAGACGGCTTAATACCGGCAATGCTACAATCAGCCAAGGATAGCATCTGCAAATGGCTAAAAGCCATTTACGAAGCATGTTTAAGACTGACGCACATCCCACTGTTGTGGAGAGAGGCTAAAGTCATTTTCATACCCAAACCGGGCAGAAGGGGGCATATCCTAGCAAAGGATTATAGACCGATAAGTCTCACCTCCTTCGCCCTGAAGACACTAGAGAGACTGCTGGACGTCCACATCCGAGAATCTCTAGAAGGACATCAACTCTCGGACGCGCAGCATGCGTACCGCAGAGGAAAATCAACGGAAACAGCGCTACACGTAGTTGTACATCATGTCGAGAAGACATTACAACACAAACAATATACGATGGCAGCCTTCCTAGACATAGAAGGCGCGTTCAATAACGTGAACCCCGACTCTATCCTGGGCTCCCTCAACTTGCTAGGTATTGAGAGAGGCATCAGAGAGTGGATCGGAGACATGCTAAAGAGCAGGACGATCACAGCCGAACTGAGTGGCACTCACCTCACGCGGACTGTGAAGAGAGGCACACCTCAGGGCGGGGTACTATCGCCCCTACTCTGGCTCACAAATATGAACGCCATATTGACAGATCTCAATACGGGTGGAGTCAAAGCAGTTGCATAC